AAAATGGACATGTTATGATATAATATAGTACAACACACAAAAACTTCCAAACCAATATCCCTTTAATCGCACTCTCTATACTTACAGATAGTCCTCGACTTACAAATATAATTGAGCCCCAAATTTCCACTGCTAAGTTAAGTGGGTTTTGCCCCATTTTATGGCCTTTTTGCCAGAGTTGTTAAGTGAATCACTGAGTTTTTAAGTTGGTAACAGGATTGCTAAGCAAATCTGGCTTCCCCATTGACTTTGCTTGTCAGAAGGTCTCAAAATGTGATCACATGACCCCGGGATACTGCAACCGTCATAAATGTGAGTTGGTTGTTAAGCATCCATACTTGTTCATGTTGTGACCATGGGGATGGCTGCGACTGTCATAAGTGTGAAATTGGAAATTTGACTTTTCTCAGTGATGTTGTAACTTCAGACAGTCATTAAATGAATGGTTGTAAGTCAAGGACTACCTGTATTTTCTAAGCAAATAAGAACACAGGTTGGTCACAGGTTGAGCACTTTCCATAACTGTAATCATTGCAAAATTTAACAGGAACAGGGAGAACGTAGATTTTTGTTTTAGAGTCAATATTAAGGAGTTAAACAGGAGAAAACATCGAAATAACAGATCAACTTAGTTTGAAAGAGTAAGTTAAAATTCCAGAGGGTAAAAGAAGACAGAGTAGAGGACTATAAGATTCCCTTACCTGTGAAAGGAGAAGAAGGTTTCAAGAGCTCTTAAGTGGTCACATTTTAGGGAATACAGAATAACAGAGTTGGAAGGGACCTTGGAGGTCTTCTAGTCCAACCCCCTGCTTAGGCAGGAAGCCCTACATCACTTCAGACAAATGGTTATCCAACATCTTCTTAAAAACTTCCAGTGTTGGAGCATTCACAACTTCTGGAGGCAAGTAGTTCCACTGATTAATTGTTCTAACTGTCAGAAAATTTCTCCTTAGTTCTAAGTTGCTTCTCTCCTTGATTAGTTTCCACCCATTGCTTCTTGTCCTACGATCAGGTGCTTTGGAGAATAGTTTGACTCCCTCTTCTTTGTGGCTACCCCTGAGATATTGGAACACTGCTGTCATGTCTCCCCTAGTCCTTCTTTTCATCAAACTAGACATACCCAATTCCAGCAACTGTTCTTCATATGTTTTAGCCTCCAGTCCCCTAATCATCTTTGTTGCTCTTCTCTGCACTCTTTCTAGAGTCCCAACATCTTTTCTACATCGTGGCGACCAACACTGGATGCAGGATTCCAAGGGTGGCCTTACCAAAGCATTATAAAGTGGTATTAACAAGGAAGGCTGCCAGAACTGTCCCCCCTCCATTCATTTTATATTTTAAGGATTAATATTCAATTTGTGAAATAGTTACCCTGTGTAGGGTTTGAACAACAAGACAATCACCCTTTCTCTTGGAATATGAATGATCTCAAGTCATATTTGAAGACATCTCTAATGCTCCCAAAGCCATTGGACTTCAGCCTTCATCATTACTGCCCATGGTTGATCCAACAGAATCCAACCACCAACTCTGGAGAGGAACCTTCCCTTATTGCTGGATTACCTTATTTATTGCTTATTATTTACTTATTAATCCTATGCAGGGGTGGGCTTCAAAAATTTTAGCAAGGGGTTCTCTGCCCGGTTGCTGGGTTGCTAGTCGGCCTCCTGCACCATGGCAAGGGGGTCATTTTTGCCCTCCCCAGGCTCCAGAGTCTTTCCTCCAGCCTCCGGGAGGGCGAAAACAGTCTCCCCAGGCTCCGGAGGCCCTCTGGAGGCCGGAAACAGGAACTTCCAGTAGGCCCGTTTTTCACCCTCCCCGAGCCTCTGTGTGTGCCCTGCACCCAAAAAGGGGCCGTGTGGGGACTCCTGGGAGGGGCAGAGCTGGGTGGGCGGGGCGAGCCAGGAGTGGGATTTGGGGGTTCTCCGAACTGCACAGAATCTTAGCTAGAGGTTCTCCCGAACCCCTGCGAACCCCCAGCCTCCCATCCCTGATCCTATGCCACTAGTTAGCTTCCTTCCCGCAAGAAGGTCAGACAAACTCCTTCTGAGGTAAGCCTGCGATGATTCAACAATCCATTAAGCACAAATGGGCCATGTGCCTCATTTAGAACCCGGGGAAGATTTGCGTATGGCCACAATCATGCCAGTTAGCGATGAAGGATTTCAGTGTCTAGAATTATTGTGCTGGGCTGGCTAGGCAGCAAAGTCACCTGCTTAAGGAGGCCGGAAGGGAAGAGCAGCAAGGATGGAACATTAAAAGCAAAACGAATCAGGAGTCAAGCTTTGGGGGAGAAATAATTACATTGCCTTATCTTGCTGCAGATTCCTTCCTTGGACCAAATTCCTAGCTAGCTCATCCTTTATCTCAGGGTTTAAAAAGCAAAGGACACCATTACCTTCAACTGCATCGCTAAGCAAAGGTGTTTTTTTTTTTTTTTTTAAAAAGATCAGCCTTCCCAGCTTGATGCTGTTGTTGAGAATTGGAGTACAAGGTTCAAAATTCCCAACCAACTTTTGTGCAATTTCCTGCTGGAAATTGTAGGAAGCAGGCAATGAGATGGCACTGGAAAAGATGTGGGGGGGGGGGAAGGGGGGGGGGGGGGGGGGGGGGTCAGTGGGGGGTTGCAGGGGTAGGTTCTGTGGGTGTGGCTTATTTTGTGGGCGTGGCTTGATGGTCATGTGACAATTATTTAGGATTTAGCAGAGGTACTGGTCTACCAGGCTTTTAACTGCTTGGGTGAATGGGTACCGATCTACCCATTTATTTTTTGCAGGCACTGATCTACTCATGTATTTTTGCAAGCACTGATCTACTCATATATTTTTGCAGGCACTGATCTACTCTCATATTTTTGCAGGCACTGATCTACTCATTTATTTTTGCAGGCACTGATCTACTCATGTATTTTTGCAGGCACTGATCTACTCATGTATTTTTGCAGGCACTGATCTACTCATGTATTTTTGCAGGCACTGATCTACTCATGTATTTTTGCAGACACTGATCTACTCATGTATTTTTGCAGGCACTGATCTACTCATTTGTTTTCTTTTAACACCGATCAAGTGTAGGGTGGCCCTTTGAAGCCCCGCAGCAAGAGTTTAAACAGTTTTTTTCCCTCTAGCCATCAGCGGGGACTCAGGAGGCAGCAATAGATTGGGGATGGGGCCAAATAAAAGGTAAGAATAACGCGGGGCTGGGGGTTGGGGGGCACGGGGGGCGCTGGGGACAGAACCGGTTCGGTGACATCATATCGTCACCGCTACCAGCTCGGGAGAACTGGGCCGAACTGGGAGGAACCCACCACAGGTGGGTTGCCCCCAGTTCGCACCGGTTCTATAGAACCGGTAGTAAAACCTGTTGGGAGGCTCCGCCCACTGACCCTGTTATCATAAAAATGCTTCTGCGCATGCGCCGAAGAGCGCGCACACGAGCGAAGCAAACACACGTGCACAGTCCCATTGCGAACCAGTAGTAAAGGTAAGTAGAACCCACCCCTGGAGGGAGTTGAGTGGGTTTTAAACAGGGGTGGGCTGCTGGGGGTTACAGGGTTTCGGAAGAACCTCTAGCTAAAATTCTGTGAAGTTCGGAAAATCCCCAAATCCCACTCCTGCATGGCCCTGCCCACTCTGCCCCGCCCCTCCCAGGAGTCCCTACGCGGCCCATGTTGGATGCAGGTAAGTGCAGGGCACACGCAGAGGCTCAGGGAGGGCGAAAAATGGGCCTACCAGAAGTTCAGGAAGGCCGGAAACGGGACCGTTTCTGGTCTCCAGAGGGCCTCCGGAGCCTGGGGAGGCCGTTTTTGCCCTCCCGGAGGCTCGAGAAGAGACTCTAGAGCCCAGGGAGGGCAAAAACGCCCCCCCCACCCCCGTGGTGTAGGAGGCTGACTAGGCCACGCCTACCATGGCCACGCCTACCCAGCAACCGGGCAGAGAACCCCTTGCTAAAATTTTTGAAGCCCACCCCTGGTTTTAAAGGCGAGGACAGGCTGGGAAGCTTCCAACCAGTATATGGCTCCCTTCTTACCCTTAAAGGGCAGATTCTGTTCAGCTGGAATTTATCCCTACATTTCTACAGTACACTCTACAGCTAGAGGAACAGAAACAGACTAAGGATCCAGCCCTAGTCTAATGTGAACATGACCAGAGTTTTGGGGGAGCCAACAGACCCAGAACAGGTAGTCCTCGACTTACGACCAAAATTGAGCCCAACATTTCCACTGCTAAGCAACCCAGCTGTTAAGTGAGCTTTGCCCCATTTTGCAACCGTTCTTGCCACCGCTGTTCAGCGAATCACCGCACTGGTTAAGTAAGTAGCATGGTTGTTAAGTGAATCTGGCTCCCCCCCATTGACTTTGCTTGTCTGAAGGCCGCAAAAGGAGATCACGTGACCCCCCCCAACCCCCCCACGTGACACTGTGACCATCATAAATGTGAGTCAGTTGCCAAGCGGCCTGAACTTGGATCGCCTGACCATGAGGATGCTGCTACAAGGGTCGTTAAGTGTTGAAAAGCGGTCATCGGTCACTTTTTCCGGTGACGTCGTAACTTTGAACGGTCACTAAGCAAATGGCTGTAAGTCGAGGACTACCTGTAATGGGGAAATGCTGGCTGGAGCAGGAAGAAAAGAGAATGAAATTGTGTGTGGGGAATAAAGAGAAGGAAAAGAAAGTTTGCCACGTAAGAACACCCCCTAAACCACCCCCCACCCCCACCCCCAAATTTCTGTGCTTAGAGAACTGGAGATCATTTGCCTCATTTTGGCCTCTCCGTACTAAGGCTGAAGTTGTGTTAAAATAATAGAATAGAATAGAATAGAATAGAATAACAGAGTTGGAAGGGACCTTGGAGGTCTTCTAGTCCAACCCCCTGCTTTGACAGGAAACCCTACACCACTTCAGACAAATGGTTCTGAAACCTGGTTAGTTGAAAAGCCTAACAATTCCTTTATGAGCTACCTTGGCACCCTGCCCCCCAACGGTCCTGTAGGAAACTTACAGTGTCTGGTAGGTGTTGTCCTTCGACCGGAGGAACTTCAAAACAAAGAAGGCGACAGCTTGGATGCTGAGCACCAGGACAATCCCTCCAATGAAGCTGGCAGAGTTGAAGCCGGGAGGGTAGAACTCGGGTGGGAGAGTTTCTGGTGGGCCGGTGGTCGAGCCTAGAGGGAACCAAGCAGAGGGGGGTTTCAGCAGGTTGTGACCAGTTCTGGAGAACCGGTAGTGGAAATTTTGAGTAGTTCGGAGAACCGGTAGTAAAAATTCTGACTGGCCCTGCCTCCATCTATTCTCTGCCTCCCAAGTCACAGCTGATCGGGAGGAAATGGGGATTTTGCAGTAACCTTCCCCTGGAGTGGGGTGGGAATGGAGAATTTACAGTATCTTTCCCCTGCCATGCCCACCAAGCCATGCTACGCCCACAAAGCCACACCCACAGAACCGGTAGTAAAAAAAAATTGAAACCCACTACTGGAACCAAGCCAAGGGACTGAGAGGCAACAAGGCAAGAGAGCTCATCTTGGACTTTCCCCAAACTTTATTTGTAGACGCTGGATGGAAATGATGGGAGATGAAATATCCTCCTTCTTTCAAGGACATGAGAACGTGGGAAGGTTACCAGGGGTGGGCATCAAAAATTTTAGCAAGGGGTTCTCTGCCCGGTTGCTGAGTGGGCATGGCCTAGTTGGCCTCTTGCACCTCCGCACGCACCTTGTACTTACCTGCATTCAAAATGGGCTGCCCGGGGACTCCGGGGAGGAGAGGGGCGGGGTGCCACCCCTTTCCTCTCTCCTAGCCTCCCTCTTTCCTCCCCTTCCCTCTTGTCACCCCTCCCCTCCTCTTGCCTCTCTCCTCTCCTCTCCTCTCCTCCCCTCTCCTCCCACCTCTCCTCCTCTTTCCTCTCTTCTCTTTTCTCCTCCTCTCTCTCCTCTCCTTTCCTCCCTTCATTTCCTTGGAGAACGGAGACTGATTTCAAAACAGATCTACCCTTTTTCTCCCAAGCATATTTTGCCCCAAAGTGAAGAAGAATGCCAATAAACAGGATGGCTGACAGGGGTTCATTAGGATGGAGTAACCGAGGTTGGGCCAGAGCTTCTCTAAACAGATTCAGGGCTGGAGCCTCAATACTAATGTTCCTGAGTCTCAGCCATTCATGATATGTGCCTCCTGTATCTCTCAGGGCTTTTGCACCTGGGATTTCTTTGTTGTTTCAAATGAAAGCCGCACCTGTTGTTCTCATTATGTGCCCAGGAGCTGGGCTGCTTGATTGCTACCTCCGTTGCAGGGGATCTGAAGTCGCAGGAAAGCTGGGCTTTTCCCTTGAAACACAGCAGCTCTGAGAGCTTGCAAGCAGCATCTGCAGTTTTTCACTCTTCCCTCTTATCGTTAGGATCCTATTAAATGTTATCCCCAAATGAGGACCCAGATTGTTGGGGGGCAATAGGCCGACTCTGTAAACCTGCTTAAGAGGGCTGAAAAGCACTGTGAAGCGGTATATAAGTCTGAGTGCTATTGCTATCCAAGGTTCCTATTCTGTGTCTTTGGTGATGGCAGTGGTGGGAATCTTCTGAATCAGCAGCAAGTCCTTTTGAATGGAGTACAGATAGTCCTCGAGTCACGACCACAATTGAGCCCAAAGTTTACTTTGGTAAGGGAAACATTTGTTAAGTGACTTTTGCCCCCATTTTATGGCTTTTCTTGCCACGCTTGTGAAGCGAATCATTGCATTTCTTAAGTTAGTAACATGGGCTGGTAAGTGAATCTGGATTTCCCCATGGACTTTGCTTGTCAGAAGTCTGCAAAAGCTGCAGAGGTCCAGTAGGCACCCGTCATAAATATGAATCAGTGGCCAAGCATTTGAATTTTTATCAGGTGACCATGGGGATGCTGCAACGGTCATGCGAAAAATGGCCATAAGTCGCTTTTTTCAACGCCATTGTAACTTTGATCACTAAATGAATTGTTGTTAAGTTGAGGACTATGTACTTTTTTTCTGAACAGTTACACACCCAAGGAACAAAACAACACCTTGTGAGAAAGAAACAGGAGTCTGCGGGATCGTCTCAGGATTCTGCCACCTTATTTTGCTGAATTTTGTCAGTCCAGAATAAACTTGTTCTCCTAAGGAAGATTTGCCTTGAACTCCAAGCAAAGGTCTCTAAATTGAGAGTGTGATAGCGGTTAGCATCTATCATAAATCAATCTTCTCCAGACCAGCCACCTGCATGAGGCCTTCTGATTGATCTACCTGGCCTACCCAAGTGAATAATAAAAACACCTGAACAGCAGAGTGATTTGGCTATTACTTGCTATCCCCAATTGTAAGTAGGCGTATATTTATTGATTTCTAAGATTACTACCTTTCTCCTTGCCAAACTGAGCTGCAAATATATTACTACAAGGACATCTGCACCTGCTCCATTTTCCCCATGGTGGCTCATTTAAAATGTTTCCAGGTAGTCTTGACTTACGACCACAATTGGGACCAAACCGTCTGTTACTAGGCAGGGCAGTTGTTTAGTGAATCAGGTCCAATTTACAACCTTTTTTTTTTTTTGCTGCCGTTGTTAAACAAATCACCTTGGCTGTTAAGTGAAGCATATGGTGGTTAAGTGAATTTGGCCTCCCCTGTTTGCTCATTGGAAGCCGGCTAGGAAAGTCTCAAATGGCGAGATCCACTCATGGGACAGTGCAACCATCATAAAATAAATGCCAGTTGCCAAATGCCAGAATTTTAATTATGTGACTGTGAAGACACTGCAACAATCATAAGTGCAAAGACCAATTGTAAGTCACTTTTTTCATTGCTGTTGGAAACTTGAACAGTTGCTAAATGAAGATTGTAAGTCAAGGACTACCTGGATTACAGTAACAATACAAATAGCAATAGTACTTTGACTTATATACCCCTTCACAGTGCTTTACAGCCCCCTTGAAGCAGTTTACAGAGTCAGTTTATTGCCCCCCAACAATCTGGGTCCTCATTTTACTGAACTCGGAAGGACAGAAGGCTGAGTCAACCTTGAGCCTGGTGAAATTCGAACTGCCAAATTGCAGGCAGTCAGCAGAAGGAGCCTGCAGTACTGCATTCTAACCACTGGGCCATCGTGCCTCATCTCATCTGATGTCTCTTCCCCCCATTACATAAGAAGGATTCTGACCAACTGGAATCTGCTTAAAGCAGGGCTCTCCAAACTTGACAACTTTAAGACTGGTGGACTTCAACTGCCAGAATTCCTCAGCCAATCATGCTAAGGAATCTACGAGTCTTACAAGTTGCCAAGTTTAAAGGCACCTGGCCTAGAAGAAGAAGGTAACTTTAAAGGGGAGGAAATAGTGGAAGGGTTTGAGTTTGTTAAGCCAAGAGAAGACAAACTTGGGTAAAAAGATTTTTTAAAAAACCACCGTTTTCAACATTGCGATGCGCTGGCATGCAGAAGATGGAACAGAGGTAACTGTTTTGCTTCAAGGAGAGGATACGAAGTAATGAGGACGTTGGGAAGCCGATTTGGGTGAAACTTCAGGCAAAGCGTCCTAACTGACAGTGGGACGAGTACTTCAGAAGTCAGGACGACAATGGAACTCATAAGCTCTGGAGGGCTACTGATGCTATAGCGGTGTCAGATGCAACATGGCCAGGAGGAGGCTTTGACCATTCATCCTTCCTCATCAGGTGCTCTCCAGATAGGCTGAGAAAGGAACCTTCTAGCCAGCAGACTGCAGTTGGCAGTTCGATACACAGACCATAAGATTAAAGGAGGCTTGTGCGAGCGGACTCCAAGCTTCCTTTGAATCCCATTGTTCTCCTTCCTTCCCCTTCCCCTGCCCAGTACAAGTTAAATTAGGCCCATATGGAAGGAAGGCAAACCCAGACTCACTCCTCCCTCAGTGCCTCGGCTATTTTTCCCTCCAGCTCTTCCAGCAGTTCAGATTCAGAGCGGTGGTAAGCTCATTTGGGGCTTAAGAGAACTTGGTTTGTTTTGCTCGTTAAAACTTCATAAACCGCCACATGCACCGATCGTGTAGAATAAATCATTCTTATTTGGCAGGCAGGCGCTCGCGATGCCGCCTCTGCTGCTGGCTTCCATTATCTGTTTTCAGCAAAGAATCCCTTGCTGGCAGAGTTAACAAGCCAACCAGCTCTTTTATGCAGCAATTCTGGTTTCCTGGTCGTGGAGGAGATTAGATGATGCCGATGGGGGGCAAGGGGGGGGGCGGTGAGATTTTGGAATTTCTTGGCCAAATCAACACCTTGGTTGGTTTTAAGAGCGAACGCTTCGGTTGTTTTCCTTGCAAGCTTCCTCCCCGCCTCCCCCTCCTTCTGGCCATCCACCCCATATTAGTCAACTATAAGCTGCTGCATCTCCAACATCCGGTTAATAGAAAGTAGACTCTTCCAGAAAGAATCCATCCTACACGCAGAGGCAGCAAAAAAAACGATGGCTACGGGGAAAATGCCTAGGCGTGAAGGAAGGCTTCCAACAAGAAATGCAGAGGAAGAAGTGAAGCGGTTAGTAGGACATGCCAGAGAGGCTGGCATGGATGCCCCACCGAAGCTGCTCCTTGCGCCCTGAGATAAATGCGCAGGCAATGGCCTATAGGGAGCCTCTGGCAGATCAATAATTCAGGAGGTTCTGGGATAGAGTTTCTCACTTTAATTAGCCCAAAGCTCCTTGCTGCCTCCGCTTCGTTTCGTTTCGGCAGGGAGATTCATCCTCCCAGAGAGCACCCACCACTGCTCCAACATATGCACCCATCCATCTCCTGCTGGCTTCTTTATTAAAGAAGCCATTTCCTCTGGCCTGCCTTCTTAAGCTTTGCTACCCAAGCAGGGCAGGTCTGGTTAGAGCTTTCCAAGCCCCTCCAAGAGGGAAAGGGATCTTTTTTTTATTAAGTCTCTTAATTTCCACCTGCGGTTGGTGGTGAAAGGCAGCAGGAGCCTTGCAGGCTTGGCGCCATTACAACAAGCCTGCGTGTTTTGAAAGCTGCTGTGAGATCATCCGCCAAGCCAACGTTTCTTAAGAGAGGGAACAGGCTGGGGGCTGCTTCCTCTGCTTCCCAATTCTCTCTCATAGCCAGATTTTAACGAAAGTTAGACATTTTAGGAAGTCTCAAGAGTCACCGAGAGACAGGTAGCATACACATAATGTCACAACAATAATACAGACTGGCTGTGGTCAGTGATGGGATTCAGTCAGTTCGAGCAAACCGGTAGTTAAACTGCTGGCTGGCCCTGTCCCTCCCCTCCCCTTCCAGGAGTCCCCCCATGTGCCCCATTTTGGTTCCCAGGTAAGTGCAGGGAGACTTCCTAGGCCCAAAACGGGGCACCAAGGGGAGGTGCGCCTCCTTGCGGCCTGTTTTCATTCCCAGAAGGCTGCAGAGAAGCCTCCTAGGCCCAAAATGGGACCTGGGGGGCGGTGCGTTTCCCCCCCCCCACGGCAGGGGTGGGTTCCACTTACTTTTACTACCGGTTCACAGCAGGAGCGCATGCACAGATCACCCATGATGACGTCGTGGCGGGTGGGCGGAGCCTCCCACCGGTTTTACTACCGGTTCTATAGAACCAGACTGAACCGGGAGCAACCCACCACTGCCCCACAGCCTGTTTTTGCTTCCAAGCAGGTGCAGGAGGCCAAGTGCTGCCTGTCACATCCCCTGGCCATGCCCACCCAGCCGGTCATTAGGGCAGAGAACCGGTTGTTAAATTATTTGAATCCCACCACTGGCTGTGGTGGTCCCTGGGGTTATCAGCACACTGAGCGCTATAACAAAAAAATCTTGGATGTGTAAAATCTACACACTGAGAAAATGTCCATTCTGTCAATTACCACAATGCTACACTGCTAGGATCCCACATATACTGCACTGGTACATTATGATATCCTAGGTTCTTGGGAAGAACTCAGTGCATAGGAAGGCCAACATCAGTTAAAGAATATGGCAGTTGTGATTTCACATTGTTGTATATATAATATAAAGAGTAGACTGTGTCAGCCCTCCCAGATAGACCAGACAGGAAGTACAGCCAATAAACTAATTCTACTTTACTGAAAAGCAATAGAATCTTGCAAATCTGAAAGTACAATTCTCCCATTGTCACTTTATAACACAATAAATGAGGGAAGTTCTTTCTTGAGCCTTTTGCTTTGCCCAGCGTGCAGCTGTGGGCTATGCTACCTCTTATCTAATAGTTCCTTTGGCAGCAACTCTTTGCCCAGTTATTCGCACATACCAGGGGTGAAATCCAGCAGGTTCTGACAGGTTCTGGAGAACCGGTAGCGGAAATTTTGAGCAGTTCAGAGAACCGGCAAATACCACCTCTGGCTGGCCCCAGAGTAGGGTTGGAATGGAGATTTTGCAGTATCCTTCCCCTGCCATGCCTACCAAGCCACGCCCACCAAGCCATGCCATGCCACGCCCACCAAGCCACGCCCACAGAATCAGTAGTAAAAAAAATTGGATTTCACCACTGGCACATACTATTACATGGACACAGTTTTACCCTGAGCATGCTGGTTGGAAAATTCTGGGAATTGAAGTCTTGAAGAGAGGGGGGAGGGGCAGATGAATCTGATACCTTTCATGGATTCTTCCAACTCTGTTAATCTAACAACGTTGGTTGCCATGATCTCTAAACCACAGCAAAATACATTTTTAATAGATGGGGTGGAAGACTCGGTCAACATCTGACCCAAATGAGTTTCGGTTAGGTATTTTGCTTCATTATACTTCATCTTTTTCCACCCACAGGAACTGCTGCCTTTAAGTATGTACCTTTCAGTGCGTTTCACCTTAAAGCTGACATTTCCAAATTCAGCATTTTTTCTCGTGTCTTTTTAAATGCTTGTTAATCATCCGAGTTGAGAACTCTCTCCCATCCTTTAGAGAAACGTGAAAAATCCAACAGATAACCAGAATCCAATTTATACATTTTAGCCTAAGAGGTCAAGCCAGCTTCGTCTCTAAATTTGCAAAGACGGAATCCCTTGAACATCCCCTCGTTAATGCAAAATCCTAAAAATAGACTTTCTCCAATTTTCTCTCTTTCAAATGTCTTGGAGCTGCCCTTCCATAATCCCCCCCCCTTCAATAAATCCATTGGACCTTGCTCGCTAGAAAAAAGATGAAAAAGATAATTTAGTACATCTGGAAGGCACAGTCTTAGGTCAAGAATTCGTGCTCACAAATTTGCCCAATTCCCACAGAGCTTCTGCTGCACTCTCTGAAGCTTTCAGCAGCATCAAGGCAAGCGTCTTCAGCTGCCCGGTTTGAAAGGCAGAAAAGATGAAAACATTTAAGCAGGAATATTTTCAATGCCTTTAAAAGCCACTAAGTACAGCATCTCCTCAATCTGCATGCCTCCAAATTTCTTGGCCTACATTTTCCACTAGTCTTCTAGGTCTCTTTATGCATTCGATAGTGCAGGGGTCTCCAGTCTTGGCAACTTTAAGACTTGTGGACTTCAATTCCCAGAATTCCTCAGCCAGCTCTGTCTCCAACCTGGGCAACTTTAAGACTTGTGAACTTCAACTTCCAGAATTCCTCAGCCAGCAGAGTGAAGGAATGGTTGGGCACTGAATATTGAATTTGGTGGATTCTTTAATTTGACTCAATAAAGCTTAGTCTTCGGTTTAGTACCATTCATTTAGCAACCATTTGAAGTTTCAACGGCACTGGAAAAAAAATAACTTACGATGATTTTCACACTTATGACCGTTGCGGCATCCCCAGTCATGTGATCAAAATTCCAAGACGCTGGGCAAACTGACTCATATTTATGATGGTTGCAGCGTCCCGGGGGGGTCATGCAATCCGCTTTTGTGATCTTCTGATAAGCAAAGTCTATGGGGAAGCCAAAATCACTTCACAACCGGGTTACTCACTTAAGAATGGCAGTGATTTACTTAACAACGGTGGCAAGAAAGGTAGTAAAACGAGGCAAAATTCACTTAAGCATCTCGCTTAGTAACAGGAAAATTGGGCTCAGTTGTAGTTTTAAGTCCAGGACTCCCTGTAAAAGGCCGTTTTTAGGTACAACGAGCCATGATGGCACAGTGGTTAGAGTGCAGTACTGCAGGCTACTTCTGCTGGCTGGCTGCAATTTGGCAGTTCAAATCTCACCAGGCTCAAGGTTGACTCAGCCTTCCATCCTTCCGAGGTGGGTAAAATGAGGACCCAGATTGTTGGGGGCAAGAGGCTGACTCTCTAAACCGCTTAGAGAGGGCTGTAAAATGGTACATAAGTCTAAGTGCTATTGCTATTGCTATATCATGGTCCACACACAAACAGATGAGATGCCAGCAAGTTTTCGGTTGGCAATGGATGCTCATTCCCATATCATTGTCAGCTTAAAGGACCTCTGAGTTTCTCTGGGGCTCCGAAGGGAATCAGGGAAGGAACATCAGAACATCCCTACTCTCAAGCCACAACCTTTTTCTGTAATTGGAACATGTTTATGAGCTACACCACTGGCACAAACCTGTTTTGGTTTTTTTTTAATTTGATTTATATGCCGCCCTTCTCCGGAGACTCAGGGCGGCTTACAATGCGTTAAGCAATAACTTGAAAGGAGGAGCAATAAAGAACAGTTGAAAATAGAATATAGAATAACAGAGTCGGAAGAGACCTTGGAGGTTTTCTAGTCCAACCTCCTGCTTAGGCAGGAAACCCTCAGAGTGACAAATGGTTGCCCAACATCTTCTTAAAAACTTCCAGTGTTGTTGGAGCATTTACAACTTCTGGAGGCAAGTTGTTCCACTGATTAATTGTTCTAACTGTCAGGAAATTTCTCCTTAGTTCTAGGTTGCTTCTCTCCTTGATTAGTTTCCACCCGTTGCTTCTTGTCTTGCCTTCAACATGCTTTGGAGAACAGGTTGACCCCATCTTCTCTGTGGCAGCCCCTGATGTAAGCACTTGCCAGAAATATCCCGATTAGGAGCATTTGGAAGAGCTTTGATGTCGCTTGACATTTTCCACGTGAATAGTTGCAACCCAGCCTTTCCTCTTCCAATGTAAACAAACTTACACAGATGACTTACCAAGCGTGGGAACCTTCGGCTCCTTGGAAGATTGTTGTAGAGGCTCCTTTGTGGTTGGGTGGGGATGCTCTGTGGTAGTTAGCTTTCGTTCTGTAAAAAAGGATATAATTTTAAAACAGCCTCCACTGTATAGCAAGAAAAAAAGGGGGGGGGTTTAGAAACATTCAAATTAAAACAAAAATGGTTAAAATTGCCCAATGAAAATACAGTTATGGCATTCCAAAGTTGCTTTTCAAAAGGCAACTGGACTTTCTTGGGGGTTTTTTCCCCTTGAAAACATTTCCCTTCTCATCCAAGAAGCTTCTTCGGTTTCTTCAGTTCCGGTATGTAGATTCATACCAGTGGTGGGTTGCCCCCGGTTTGGACCGGTTCACAAGAACCGGTAGTAAAACCGGCGGGAGGCCCCGTCCACCACCCCAGATGTCGTCATCAGCTATCTGCGCATGTGCAGAAGCAAGGTGCGCTCGCTCGCTTCGCTCAGGATCCCGTTGCGAACCGGTAGTAAAGGTAAGTAAAACCCACCCCTGATTCATACCTTTGTAAATTGCATGATAAGAGATGGAAAGAGGACAGAAGAGGACAGATGACTAGGGAGCTCAAACACCCTTCTTATAAGAAAGTTTGTGAGTCTTTAGCTTGGAGAACAGAAGAACACAACTGGCCCGGTCTAGGAGGCCATGCCTATCATAGAGAAGGTAGACAGGTAGGCCTTTTTCACCCTGTCTCCAAAGTGTCAATGTCAGCGTCCCAGCACTGACATAGAAAAGGGAGGAGAAGCCTGAACTTTTGCCTGCTAAATCCCTTTGAAGATCCGGTCTCCTCGGAGATGGGGAGGGGGGAGACATTCCTGTGATCTGACAAAGAAGGAATCAGGAAAGTGACTTGGAAGATAGCCAATGAGAACCAGAGAATTGGGGATCGGAAAGGGAGGGATTGGGAGGCAAAAGTCAGTACTGACCACGAAAGAGTCAGGATCAGATTGCTGTGCTCGAATAAAGAGAAAATTTCCTTAAAGATCAGCAGTTTGGAAATGCATTTATTTTGAGATAGCATCGAAGCCTGACAGTCAACCTGCAAAATGACTTCAACCAAAGCCATGCTAACTTCTGCTTTGTTTCTTGGTTGCCATTCAAGGGGGGGATGGACAGATGGATTTAGGAATGTGGTGCCTCAGCTGGCTAGTGATAACATCTACTAGCTGGAGTGTGAACCAAATTCATGTCAACAGACACCTGTTGAAGCCGGGTGAGAACCTACAGCTGGACTGATTGGCCCATGTGACCTGAGAGACCTAGGGGTGGGTGGGGAAATCCTATTCATTGAACTATCCCTGTGGGCGGGAATAATTTAGAGCTAGCTTCACCTTTCTAAGTGCCGATATGATGTACTCATTAAAGGGTTTCTTGAACCTGAACAATGTGTCAGAGTCCTCACTTCCCGGAGTTCATTACTCGGAACGATGACACAAAGTCTAGGATGGGTGTCAGCAACCTGCGGTTCCAGAGCCGCATGGGGCTCTTTGGGCCCTCTGCTGTGGCTCCTTGTCAGGTGATCCCACCACTGGCTGGAGCTGCCCCTCGCCCTCCCCTCCCAGTCACTCCTTGCCTGGCCTGAGAAGGTAAAGGCGACAGTGGGGGATGGAGAAGCAGCCAGGGCAGAGACAGAGAGAGACACAGAGAGAGGGGGGGAGGGAGGGAGAGATGTCAAAAGGGTTTTGTGGTTCCCCGTGTTTTTTTAACAACCGGTTCTCTGCCCTAATGACCGGCTGGGTAGGCGTGGCTAGGGGGAGGTCATGTGACTGATGGAAGTGAGTGATGTCGAGTTGGCCACACCCACCCAGGTTTTGTGGCTCCTGATGTTTTCTTTTCTGTGGGAAACAGGTCCAAATGGCTCTTTGAGTGTTTAAGGTTGCAGACCCCTGATCTAGGACAAGGAACCATCCAATGAAACTGACTCGGGGGTGGGGGAGGGGAAGGGCGGAGGATTAAGCAAAGAAGAAAACTCTTCTTCATGGAGCAAACCTACCTTGTGAAATTCTTTCCCATAAGACGGTGATGGCAAAGGTTGCAGTAGAGCCGGGGTGTCAAACTCAAGGCCCAGGGCCGGATCCGGCCCATGGGGTACTTAGATCTGGCCCATGGGGCTGCTGTAGAAAAGAGAAGGACAGACCCGCAGTGCTTCTGCCAGTGAAAACGGAGCTTCCAAGCGGCCCTCCCGAGCTCCGTTTTCCATGGCAGAGGGTTGCAGGAGGCCGTGGCAGCCGAAAACGGAGCTTGGGAACCCATTTTCGCTGGCAGAGAACTCAGGCCACCACAGGCACCCCCGACACGAGGGACGTCGAGCTGGCCACACCCACCCTGGCCATGCCCACCTGAGCCCCTGGAGGTCAAACATAACCTGATGAGGCCTGCAATGAAATCGAGTTGGGCACCCCTGCAGTAGAGAAAAGGATTATAGGTCCAGACTTTCTATGTGCATTTGGTTTATTATACGGTGAACCTGAAATTAATCATATCAGAGCTGAGCTGAGCACAGGCCTAATATCCAATATCTTGGTCTGGTTGTTGCTATCCATGACAAGTGACAAAGCATTCTGATTCGGGAAGGAACACACCAGGGGTGGGTTCTACTTACCTTTACCACCGGTTCGCAACGGGATCGTGCGCGCTCGCTCGCTTCTCTCGCACACGCGCCTTGCTTCTGCATATGTGCAGAAGCTTCTGCACATGCGCAGATCGCTGATGACCACATCCAGTTTGAACCAGGGACAACCCACCACCGGAACACACAACCAGCATGGACAAAGAACTATCCAATCCATAGCCTTTACTTTCATGGATCTGTATTCTGGATATTGCTTGTTGTCTGGTCTCCACAAATCAGTAAACTTATAATACAGACAGTAGGTTTTGCAAGGCCTTCTAACAAATCCTCGCCCAAGGATTACCTTCACAGCTGACAGTGGTGTTGAAAAATGAACATTTCTCCTTCAACGCTTCTCCATTCTTCACGCAGCTCCCCGTACCTACAAATGAAGGAAGTGTTGAAACAGAGCACAATAACAAGCCACAGCTTTTACTACTTCTTCTTCTTCTTCTTCCATATATGGTAATCCAGAAGCAGGCTGGCTAGGTTCGCTAATAACAATAAACTATGGCATGTTTTAATTGTGGTTTGCAAGACCATCACCCAGGGGTGAAATGCTACTGGTTCGGGCCAGTTTGCCCGAACCGGTAGTAAAAAATGTAAAAAAAAAAAGTTCCGACGATCAGCTGAGCAACGTGCAATTGTCGGAACTTTTTTTTTTTACTTTTTAAGCATTTTTTTACTATTGGTTTGGGCGAATAGGTAGTAAAAAATGTTTTTAAAAAGTTTTTAAAAGGCTCTGACGATCACAGCTGTGCCCCGCGATCATTGGAGCCTTTTTTTTATTTTTTTAAAGCATTTTTTACTACCTATTTCCCCGAACCAGTAGTAAAAAATGCTTTTAAAAAGTTTTTTAAAAGGTTCCCACGATCGCGCACCACAGCTGATCACCCCCCAGCGCGCTGTTCTACTTAACCTTCCCAAGCCTCCTTTTGGCACACACTGTGTGTGTGCAGCTTGTGTTTAGTGCACACTGTGCACATGTGTGCGCAACACGCATTTGGTGCATAGCACGCATGCGTGGCCAGCAAACTGGTAGTAAACCGGTTCAGATTTTACCACTGCCATCACCCCTCATCCACAGAATGCCTCCAGATACCAGTTGCAAAGGAACGGTGGTGGGAAGGGATGAAGTCTCCATCTTTCGCTTGGGAGCACCTGGTGAGGGGTCTAGGACAACTTCCTACTGTCGACTCACCAAGGACAAATTGCCATGGCCAACTCGCTGCAGGACAATCCACGTGGGATAATTCCAATGCAATAAATGTTATCTGCCATGCTTTCTTCTACATTTTTCAACACTACTGTCAAGAGGAGCCGAGGTGGCGCAGTGGTTAGAGTGCAGCACTGCAGGCTACTTCAGCTGACTGCTAGCTGGAGTTCAAATCTCAGTGGCTCAAGGTTGACTCAGCCTTCCATCCTTCCAAGGTGGGAAAAATGAAGACCCAGATTGTTGGGGGGCAATAGGCTGACTCTAGAGAGTCTACAGCAGTGTTTCTCAAACTTGGTAGCTTGAAGATGGGTGGACTTCAACTCCCAGAATCTCCCAGCCAGCAGTGCTGGCTGGGGGATTCTGGGAGTTGAAGTCTACCCATCTTCAAGCTTCCAAGGTTGAGAAACACTGGTCTAGAGAGTCTAGAGAGAGCTGTAAAAGCAGTGGTTTGAAGCGGTATATAAGTCTAAGTGCTATTTTTTTTTAAATAGTCTTTATTAAATATTTACAATAAAATTAACACACAATAATGGTTGAAAAGCAATATAGGAAACAAAACATAGAAACACCTAAACACAGGACTAAAGCCAAACAACAAACAAGACTAACCAAGAGTTAAGCTCACTCTCCAATTGATATTAACTAATATCATCCTAGCCAAACATTCCAATGCAATCAGGTTCTTTTTACTAACTACAAAACAATTGGTCTGTTTTTATCAAAATTGTAAAGAGTTATAAAGCCTAGTAACTTCATTGATTTATCCTTGCAGTTTTCTAAGCACCCAATATGAACACAACCTCGTTTTCATCCACAAAGCATTTGAAACCATTCTTAAAAATTGCCTAAAAGAAACAACAGCAGGAGTTTACCTATTCCCAATAGCTAAGCTCCTACTGTTGTTTCTTTTAGGCAATTTTAAAGAATGGTTTCAAATGCTTTGAGTCTAGAAGATGACTGTCTTTTGCTTGATTTGCTGAGTGTTAGAAGAAGTCTGGAGTCTGTTAGAAGAAGGGGGAGTTCTTATCCTGAAGCTGGATAAGAAAATAAGATAATCTATGGGGGCCTTGTTACTCTCTTGGTTGTTTTCTTGCAAACAGTTCATTACCAAACTAGGTAAGCAGTTGTGGGATTCAATTTTTTTTACTACTGCTTCTGTGGGCATGGCGTGATGGGTGTGGCTTGGTGGGCGTGGCAGGAGAAGGATACTGCAAAATCTCCATTCCTTCCTACTCCTGGAGGAAGGCTACTGCAAAATCCCCATTCCCTCCCCACTCCTGGGGGAAGGCTACTGCAAAATCCCCATTCCCTCCCCACTCCAGGGGAAGGCTACTGTAAAATCTCCATTCCCTCCCCACTCCAGGGGAAGGCTACTGCAAAATCCCCATTCCTTCCCACTCCAGGGGAAGGCTACTGCAAAATCCCCATTCCCTCCCACTCCAGGAGAAGGCTACTGCAAAATCCCCATTCCTTCCCACTTCAAGGGAAGGCTACTGCAATATCCCCATTCCCTCCCCACCCCACTAACTTGCTTTCCAGCTCCGTTCTCCTCTGCAGGGCAACAAAAGAAGACCCAGCCGATCAGCTGGGAGGCAGCGAATAAATCAATTGGGTGCCCCAGCCTTACAGGCTAGGCCTCCCTGCAGCCCCCTGGGATCCGTGGGGACTCATGGAAGGGGCGTGCGTGCGTGGCCAACCAGAGGTGGCATTTGCCAGTTCTCCGAACTACTCAAAATTTCCGCTCCGGTTTTCCAGAACTGGTCTGAACCGGCTGAATACCACCTGTGTAGGTAACATTATCACAGCACTGATGATGTTACCTAGTTTGGTAAGGAAATGTCTGCAAGAAAACAACCATGCTCAGAGAGCAACAAGGATCCACTGTTCAACCTTGAGCTACAAATATTGTGTTCTATGAGCTAACGTAACTCTCCCTGCTTCTTGAACTCAAACTCTCAGTTTCTAATCCATACTGGGCCAGCAATTCTCACTAGCAACAAGCACCAGATCTCAAAAATCAACAGACAGCAAAGGCTGTTCTTTTACAGCTCCGGGCTATCCCTCCCTTCCTGGAACTGTAGCCAGGGCAACAAGTCAGGTGCAAACCAAAAGACATTCAGATCTTGAGATGGCGCTTAGATGTTCCCATAAAATAGAAGGATTTTCAGAGTGCTGGCCTTAATGTGGCTCTTGTGGACCATTACAACTTTCAGCATCTGTCACCACTGGCCATGAAGGCTAATCTGCTAGAAGTTGCAATCTGCCAGTTGATAGCTCATCCTTGCAAAAAAAAAAATGAGCTCCTCACAAGGAGATAGTAGTAACTGTGAGAGGGATCTTGGAATTGTAGTGGACAATCACTTAAATCTGAGCCAGCCGTGTGCTGCAGCTGCCAAAAAAGCCAACACAGTTCTAGGCTGCATGAACAGAGGGATAGAATAAAGATCACATGAAGAGTTAATACTGCTTTATAATGCCTTGATGAGGCCACATTTAGAATCCTGCATCCAGTTTTGGTCGCCATGATGTAAAAAAGATGTTGAGACTCTAGAGTGCAGAGAAGAGCAACAAAGATGATTAGGGGACCGGAAGCTAAAACATATGAGGAACAGTTGCAGGAACTGGGTATGTCTAGTTTAATGAAGAGAAAGACTAGGGGAGACATGATAGCAGTCTTCCAATATCTCAGGGGCTGCCACAAAGAAGAGGGAGTCAAGCTATTCTCCAAAGCACCTGAGGGTAGGACAAGCAGCAATGGGTGGAAACTAATCAAGGAGAGAAGCAACCTAGAACTAAGGGGAAATTTCCTGACAGTGAGAACAATTAACCAGTGGAACAACTTGCCTCCAGAAGTTGTGAATGCTCCAACACTGGAAGTTTTTAAAGAAGAGATTGGATAACCATTTGTCTGAAATGGTATAGGGTTTCCTGCCTAAGCAGGGGGTTGGACTAGAAGACCTCCAAGGTCCCTTCCTACTCTACAATTCTATCCTATCCTATCCTATCCTATCCTATCCTATCCTATCCTATCCTATCCTATCCTATCCTATCCTATCTGACAGCATCCATCAATTCTAGACATTGGTGACTTGAACCCTGACCATTCTGAGCAGCATTTCAATTTATATAAGATGCCAGTAAACTCTGACCAAAAATTCAAGCCTGTGCTGGTAAGACAGAGAAAATTGCACTCTATAATAATGGTCTAAACAGTCATTAAAACTAATTTATGGCACTGGTCATCTTCTGACGTATTTTTTGGGTGCTGCTGCACAAACCTAGCAACGTTATACAGTATGTATGTTGTCACAGGGTTGGTATCCAAGAGCAGCAGGGAAGTATAAAATTGCATCCTGAGTATTTATGCAATAACGATAAAGTGGTAATAATGGTAAAATGAAGTATGCAATGCAAATATTGGGCCAGCATATTATTTTTTTTCATTGACTTACCTGGCTTCTCATGAGGCTCCTGACAGTGTTTCCAAATGCAGTTTGTAATATTCTGGGAAGGAGAACCTTCAGTGCATTGTTTACATGACTCCAGATCTTTACAGTCCCCTATTTAAAAAATAAAAAGGCATAAAAAGGTTGTTTTCCTTCCGGTCTATAGATGTGGATCCTAAAGGGTTGGTTGAAGTGACAGAAAATTGTTAAGTTCTAGAGTTATTCAATGACATTCAATTATTCAATTATTCTTTCTTCTGGATAATCTTTTCTTTTTTTGATGATTTGGTTTAATGGAGGTTTGTACTATTTCTAGGCTAAAATTGATGCTTTAAAACTATTATATCACTCTCTGCAATTCTATCCATATTGCTATATTTTTTTTCTGTAATTTTTAATAATTTTCAATAAAAATTTTAAAAAAATAAGAGTTATTCAATGACCAGGAACTGTCAAAAAATTGCCCTTTTTGCCTTTTGCCTCCCGCCCCCAAATTTTCAGATATTTAATTTGGATTTGACAGGTAATCCTCAATTTACAACTATTCATTAGCAACTGTTTGAAGGCACAATAGCTGTGAAAAAAAGCTATTTATTACCAGTCCTTGACTATTATAGCATCCCCACAATTACATGAACAACATTTGAGCGCTTGGCAACTGGCATGCATTTATGATGATTGCAGCATCCAAGGATCATGGGATCATCATATGTGTGTTGTGGCCTGCCTGCGGCCAGGGGAGCTGGCAGCAGAGTCAGACAATGAGGATGTTGGGAAGAAACTTGGGCCAGTCCTGGGGGCTGGGGAAAGCTCGGACGAGAGCTCTGCGTTGAAGGCAGAGAGGGAGCTGGACAGCAGTGAGGCAGAGGAACAGCTGGAGCCTGTTCCCAGTGTGTGCATGTGCAGAGCTGCCAGAAGACAAGAACAACTCAGAAAGCAGGATCGATTTGGGAGTAAAGCCACACCTTGGAGGTGATTGGCCCCTCCCATAGGAAACAAAAGAGGAGCAAATGGGGAGTGGGCTTTTGCAGGAAACAATTCATTCGTTCTGTGACTCTGAGAGACTCTGTGCCAAGTTTTGCCTTGTACAGCATTTGGAAACTAGTTACCTGGCAGCTTTCCAAGCAAGATAAGGTCTGTGTTGATAAATATTCCTTTGAAAACCTGTTTGGATAGGCCTTGCTGACTGTGAATGAAAGGAATTAAGAGTCATGTAAATAAAAGAGGTTTTGCCGGGACCAAGACTCTGCTTCCTGCTTTTTAAGGGAGCCTAAGTCAGAACAGTGTGACCTTCCCAGCCAGCTTCCAAGAAGCAAAATAATGGGGGAAGCTGGATTTAAAAATAATGGGGGAAGCTTAATGACCACATGATTCTCTTAATGACTACTGTGATTTGCTTAAGAACTGTGACAAAAAGTCATAAAATCAAGTGCAACTCTGCAACTCATTTAACAATCACCTTGCTTAGCGATGGAAATTCTGAACCCAACTGAGGTCATAAGTCAAGGACTCCCTGTCCTTGACAGGGAGTTGGCATGCTACTTTCAGAACTGTCTTTTTAATTTATCCCTAACATTAGAGGCTCAACGTGGAGTGGTGCGGTGGCCTAGAGGCGGAGCTTTCACCTCACAATCAGGGGGCTGTGAGTTCAATCCTAGGTAGAGGCAGATATTTCTTTCTCTGGGCACACTGAGAATATATCTGCTGAACAAAACTCTGCATTGGCAACAGGAAGGGCATCCGGCCATTAAAACAATTTCAATTCTTTCAATTTAATTCAATTTGTATGCTGCCCCTCTCCGAAGACTCAGGGCGGCTCACAGTACATTTAAAATCCTAATAAAAAACATTTAAAAATTAAAAACATTAAAAACATTAAAACTCATTCATACCATTCATGGCCGGATCTCGCCAGATCGCAAGAGCGAGATCAACGGCCCCAGGCCTACCGGAAAAGCCAGGTCTTCACTGCTTTTCGGAAGGCCAATAGGGTGGGGATGGTCCGGACCTCAGGAGGTAACTGGTTCCAGAGAGCTGGGGCAGCCACAGAGAAGGCCCTTCCCCACGGGCCTGCCAGCTGGAATTGTTTAGCTGACGGGACCCGGAGGAGATCAATTCTGTGGGATCTTACCGGTCGCTGGGAGCTATGCGGTAGGAGGCGGTCTCGAAGATAACCTGGCCCTGAGCCATGTACGGCTTTAAAGGTAATAACCAACACCTTGAATTTTGACCGGAGACCAATAGGGAGCCAGTGCAGCTCGTGGAGAATTGGTGTAATGTGCGTGTACCTAGGTGCACCCACGACAGCTCGCGCGGCTGCGTTCTGGACCAACTGTAGTCTCCGAACACTTTTCAAGGGTAGCCCCATGTAAAACACTTTGTTAACTCCATTCAGTTGTCCAGACTCCACCTCGCAAGGGATTATGGGGTCATTAAATGAAGATGATTAGAGGCTCAACATGAACTCTGATCAACTTAATGCAGGGTTGTACACTGCCAAGGTACTGAGATCTTCATCCTGGACTCCATCACCACCGGAAAAGGGACTGGGAGCACCAAACGCATTTTGTGTTTGCTGCGAAGAAACCGTGACACTATCAGTTAAACTTTAGAGAATTTAACCGATCAGACCAAGGAAACCCATGCAGCAACTATTCTAAACATTGTGAGAATGATTACGGTTGGGTGCACACACCGAGTTAAGCCCAAACCTGTCTCGTTTTGTTTGCTTTTGTTTATTTTTGTTATTTTTAATGCAAGAATCCAACTTCTGCTTCCTTTCTTTTGAAAACCGTGCTATATATCGTGCGAATCTGGCCAATGATGATTTCTAATAGGGAAAAAAACCCTAATGAACAAAACAATTAGCCTGACGTATAAGCCGTAAGCCAAAACTGCATTTCTGTCACTTTTAGGAAGAGATATTTTGATCTTCTTCTTGTTTTTCTACTCTTTCAGTATTATATCCTTGGGCTTCTTTGGATCTACTAGCTTGTTAGCCTGCAGGCAGTTGCCATTAGTTTCTGTGTATCATGTAGAAAATAATATTTTTCTCTGACTACAGTCGATGCACTGGATGGGGTAAGACTAGTGGTGGGTTCCTCCCGGTTTGGCCCGGTTCTCCCGAGCCGGTAGCGGTGACGGATGGATGTGGGGAGGGCCGTGCACGCAAGGCAGGGGTGCGACATGGGGAGGCATTGAATTATGGCTGTGGGCATGCATGCGCACACCTCTCGCACTCCCCCCGCTTTTGGCACGCGACGGCAAAAAGGTTAGCCATCACTGACTTATATATTCAAAGTCAGTTTGGTGTAGTGGTGAAGGTACTGGCCTAGACACCAGGAGGCAGGAGTTCTGGTCTTCCCTTAGACATGAAAGCTACTGGGTGACCTGGGGCCAGTTCCTCTCCTCCAACCTAACCCATTTCACAGGGTAACCATTGCAGGGAAAATAGAAGGCAGGAGCAGTGTGTGTGTATGTGTGTGCATGTGTGTGCATAAAGGCAGAACATAAATCTAACGATCCATTAATAAACACTGTTGCCAAGGCAAGTACATTGAAAGTAACTGGGAATTGAGCTTGTCGATAGCATCATTTTGCTGGAAAAGAGCCAGCTTGATGATACTATACCGAATGTTGTATCTCCATAAGAAGGGCATCCTGTATCACTTATGCATGTGGTATTGTGTTAACCTTGCCGGTTGGTGCATAATGCTGGCCTGCTTATGACAACACTGTCAAAAACCTCCATTTTTTTCTGGGACAACAATAAGGCAATAGCAGTTGGAAATTCATTGAAGATTAAATAAACCTACAAACGGTGCCTGTTCAGGACTTCAGGCTCAAGAGGAGCCTTCTACAGAGGAATTATTGAGTCTGTCATCTGCACCTCCATAACTGTCTGGTTTGGTTCTGCAACCCAACAAAACAGACACAAACTTCAGAGGATAATTAGAACTGCAGAAAAAACAATTGCTACCAACCTGCCCTCATTGAGGACCTGTATACTGCACGACTCAAAAAGAGGGCTGAGAAAATATTTACAGAGCCCTCGCATCCTGGACATAAACTGTTTCAACTCCTCAAAACGACACTATAGAGCTCTGCACACCAGAACAACTAGACACAAGGACAGTTTTTTCCCAGACACCAACACTCTGCTAAACAAATAATTCCCCCAACACTGTCAAACTATTCACTAAGTCTGCATTACTATTACTATTAATCTTCTCATTGTTCCTATCACCCATCTCCTCCCACTTATGACTGTATGATTGTAACTTGTTGCTGTATCCTTACAATTTATATTGATTGTTTCCTGGTATGATTTGATTGCTTATTGGTACCCTATGACTAGCATTAAGTGTTGTACCTTAGGATTCTTGACGAATGTATCTTTTCTTTTTATGTACACTGAGAGCATATGCACCAAAGACAAATTCCTTGTGTGTTGAATCACACTTGGCCAATAAAGAATTGTATTGTATTGTGTTGTAAGAGCAGGGGTCTCCAACCTTGGCAACTTTAAGCCTGGAGGACTTCAACTCCCAGAATTCCCCAGCCAGAGTTGAAGTCCTCCAGGCTTAAAGTTGCCAAGGTTGGAGACCCCTGCTCAAGAGGACAGCTGGTTTTGAGCCCAAAGCTAGTAACTATCTGCCATGAGAACAACTTTCCACTGCTGCCTTGTCTCTTGAACCCAGATGGGTTGCATTTCAAACTTCCATACTCCTCAGCCAACAGGCAAAAACAATGAGGACACCCTTCCCGAGAAAAGGGAACCCATCCTCCCTTGGAGTAATTGATTGAGCAACTCTAACTTCTAAGACGTTTATGCCTAACATTCAGCCAAATGCTATAGTTAATTCTCTGCTTCCTTCTTTAATTATGGTGCCCGGAACTGGGATAATATTCAACCTGGGATCTGACAAAGCAAGGCAAATTCAAGATTTTTGTACCTAATCCCTAACTATTCTAGCATGCTATGATTTCACATACTGTAGTGGCCAAAATTGTGGAAACCTTTTGGGGGAAGTGTATTTTTGAGGTTTGATGGCTAATAACACTTTTTTTTTTGGAGTTTCAAGATAATCCTATTCCACTGCGGGAATGGCCTG